TTTGTCAGTGGGTGAGGCCACAGGGCAGCAAATCTTTCAGCAACACCAGGTGCAGCCTTTCAGAAAGTGCAGCCTTTCCGAATGCCATGGGCTGTCCCTTCTGGCTTCTTGTCATTCCTTTCCAAAGTGCCTGGAGCAGGATTTCAGATGAGGCGTGGTACGAAACAGAAGATGGCATCTTTGCACAGGTCCAAGTGGCACAGATGCCTTTCCACAAGAACTGGGCGCATTTGCCCAGTCCACCGGAACGCTTCTGGATAGAGGTGGGGGGAAAAGGGCATGGGAGGGCAGCTGGATAGGGGTGACAGGCTCCAATGTCATCTTCCTTTTCAGGCTCTAGGGATCACCATGTCTGGCATCGATCCGGTGCTCTTTCCCCACAAAAACCCAGGGGCATCAACCCCTATGGCTCGGCGTGGAGCCAAACTTCCGAACCACACGAGTGCGCCCTCCGCTCAGGTGGGCATGAACAACTGGGGCCTTGCGGTGTGGGACGGCGATTTCGGCCCCAAGGATTTCGTGATTGGCTTTGAGCCTTTGTTGGACAAATATGGGGAGCGTCTGGCGGCGTATCGGCCCATCACACAAGGCACCGAGGGCACAGGGAAGAGGCGCATTCTGGGGCTTCAGCACGAGAGAGGCCAGGTCGGAGTGGCGGTCGCAGTCGAAAAGGAAGGGGGCAGGTCACTGGCAGGTCTTGGACCTGAGAGGTGGGGCCCCGTGGGGTTCCAATGGGTGAACGGACTCCCGTTGGGTCGAGCGGTTTCTTTTCGACCTTCTTGTTGGGTACTTTGCTCTGTGACCGAGACCAACGTTCTCAGTTTTCATGCCATGTTCTCTCACCAACACAGCTGCGTAGGTGCATAGGCCAGAGGTGTTTCACTGAGAAAGAAAACATGGCCCGCAAACGAGGTATGGTGTTTCCCTTTGCCGTGGGTTGCAAGGGCATGGTGGAGCTTAGTGTGCCCGAGGAAGATAGTTGCAGCACGATCTTACCAGTCGACCCCAACAGCATCCCTGATAGCTTTGAACACCCGATGAAGGATGTTTTTGACTACAAAGCTGACTGTGTCACAGCCGGAGACAAGCGCTTGGTGCCATGCATTTCTTTGGACTATGTCATCAGAGTTTGGCTCAATGGACACGAAGTTGAGTATTTGAAGATAGATGCAGAGGGTGCCGACCTCATGGTGGTTCAATCTGCTGGAGCCATGCTCTCCAAGGTGAAGACCGTGTCGCTGGAGACGCGGTGCGATGAGCTGCCCAGACCCTGGGATTCGCCGAATTGCTCCACGATCTTGCGGTACATGTACAAGGAAGGCTATTTCTGTTACACGACCTTCAGGGAGCAGCTGGTGAAGTGCGGCCCGCCCAACAACAACATCTGCCGCATCTGTGGGGCCTCCGTGATCGATTTGACCTTCACGCGGATGAAAAGATAGCAAAAAGACGCAGCAGCACAGAAAGGGAGGAGGCAAATGTGTGTCTGTTTCTCTTGGATCATGTAATTTGCAAAATTTGCCATGTTTGCTGCTACATGATGTTATATCAAGTTCCACATCATCTCCAATCCCAAGCACCTCTCAATGGATCAAGAAGCGCCTCGGTGGGAAAACACCCAACTGCAGGAGATGTCCTCAGCTTCTGCAGGTTTCCTCGGCTCAAAGTTCGGTTTCCGCGTTCCGTTTCGTTTCCCTCCCGGCCGCCGGTGTGACAGGCGGGCGACTCCGAGCTCCGGGTCGGTGGGCGGGTTGGTGGACATTCACCGCCAGACGATCCTTTTGAGCAGTGGGGCCCTCGACTTTTCAGATCTCTTGGTGTTTCGGCCGATGCGGGGTTTTGGTGATCTTTGTGCAAGAACTTTAAGATCTTTGTGGGGAGTCTTTGGCCAAGGAGGAGGGTGTTCTGGGCAATCCAGTCGACCGGGGGGGCAAGCGATCTAGTCAGTCATGCTCTTGTCACGCCACTCCTTTTCGCACTCATGCACCACACTGTGAGCCTCGTCATATACCTGCTTCGCAACTCGCAACTTGGTCATGGAAGCTTGCCCGGGGCATTTCGTTTGGCAATGAAAGCCCCCATCCAAGCGGATGAGAGGACAAGGTTTCTTGTGAGTTGCCAGTTTCTTATGTGAACTACCGGAGTATGAACCGATGAACCTCGGGAGGTGCAGTTTCGACCCCATGCCACGCGACTGCAGACTGCCAGCTGCTTGCGCTTCGCAGACGGCCATGGCAGAAGATCCCTTGTCGAGAGGCCGGAGCGGGCAATCCGACCATCCATGACGGGTCGATTCATCACATCGACTTGGAGGGCCGTTTTCAGCTCCTCACAGATATGTATATGACACATGGTACTTATACACATGGTACACAATCCACTAAATTGTCAAACCATGTCAAACCTATTGGGGGACTACCAAAATGAGGAACCCAACCTTCGCCTTGGCCGCACGTTCAGCCACCGCACGGCGACGTTTCGTCAGGGCGTTCTCTCGTGGGCTTCGCTGGCTTTGCAGGGGGTGGTGTGGGGCGCCGGGAGACCCAGCATGGTGAGGTCACTGAGGTCAGTGCACTTTCCATTTGCAGTTCCATCACTGGATCCAGGGTCCTAGTCGAATGAGTCGAAAGCAGGCGGAATGAAAACCAACGCCAAAGTGGGATGGCACGGTGTCCCACTGCGCCTTTAGAATCCGCGAAATGCTAGAGAGCGAGCCTGTCACATGCATGCGGATCGAGCCTCGCCGAGTTCTTTTGGTGGGTCCCACTACCGCGCTGATGTGCAGCACCATGGCCATCCACACAGTATGCCGGGACGACAGGCGCGCGGGCACGAGCATGAGTGGTTTGCGCCGGTGAGGCAACCCAAAGGTTTGACACGAGTCGGCAGGTTTCAGCTTGCAGATGTTGATTGCTTTTGGCTATCTTACTGTCTTACACTGACTGGACCGACTGGAGCCCTCCAAAATCATCTTTTTTTGACCCCTTTCGACACCCTAGCTTCTTGTTACTAGCTCCTTGCTCCGTTCGTCGTGCGGCCAGGGTCGCCCCTAGCCTTCGGAGGGCCGGGGAACGTCGCGGGGGCGCCAGCGCGGCCTCGGTCGGCAGGGCTGGTCACGTGGCGCGGCAGCTGGCCGTCTCCGGTGCGGAGCGAAACGACGGCGGAGGGTGAGCACGGCTCTGGGTGGCGCCTGGTGAGGGTGAAGTGTATTTGACAGGTCAATCAGCAGCGCGGAAGGCGAGATATACCTCCAAGTGCTAAAAAGAGTGTCCACATGTTTCCGCAAACTGTAATGGCTCCAGAGATGTTCTGTTCAGAGTTTCGCTTGATTTGGCCGCCCAGAAACCTTGCAACGAAATTTTGAATCCGACAATTCATGCGATCCGTGGGCAGCCTTGCATGCCTTTGAGAAGCATGATGGCACATGTATCACATGCGGTTGATCCAAGTCTGGGGGCGTCTTTTGGGTCTACTGAGTCTACTGAGTCAGAAGAAGTCGACTTTCCTCTTTTGAGCAGGAGCAGAGCTCCTGGCCGCTTCTTTTCAAGTCGAACGGATTTCCGAAACCGCTGGAATTGGCGCCAATCAGCTCCGTTCGAACCGGAGACCGAACACCGCTGGCCGCTTCCGCTCTGGCTTTTGGCGTCGATCTGCCTCGATGATCGTCCGGAAGTCTTTCTTCCCGCGGGTCGGAGGGTCTTCGACCGCTTCCGTTTCCCTCGTCACCCGACCCGAAAGATCTGGGGGTCGCAGAATCCAGAATCCAATTGGATCAAGGGAACTCTCCTGCTTTCAGTGCCCAGACGCTCCGTGAACGAAGCCCCCGTCTCCGGTCGACCGAGGTTCCACGGTCCTACGGACCATGGGCGATCGTGTGAGGCCGAGCCGCTCGGCGCCGAGCGGGGTGGTGGTTGAAGCACCCCTGGTGGTTGAAGGTCAATGGCCACCCATCTGGGAAGAAACTGGTGGCAACAAAGTTCAGGACTCCAGGAGCTACAGCTTTGAGTCGATTTTTCATGATTTTTCTATTGACCAGCAAGGTTGGATGGCGCCCTTTTCGAGCCACAGCCATGTTGGCGCCGGCGATGGTTCGACTCTGGTGCTCGGTTGAGTCCGAAACGAACAGACGTTGGCCGAAACGGTTCTGGCCAAGTTGGCCGACAGGGTTGCCGGAAGATTCCAACGGGCCTGGGCCTGTTCGAAGGAATTGCTGAAAATTTTCCATGTTCTTAACACCGCCATTCCCCAAATCCCTGCAAGGCCTGGGTGAAGATTGCTGCGAAGATTGGTTTGACCTGGGACATGCTGGGACACCTTCATCCAAATGGTGAAAGCTCATCTGAGTCTCTGCAGCATTCTTCCATCAGAAGTAGCCCAAGGGATTCGAACACACACACACACATCGATCCCCCCAAAAGGGTAGGACTGCAACAAGTTATGTGTTCGGTGCGGTGGCTTCTGGGGAGGAGTAAGACTTGCCACGACAGTTTCTTGACTCAATTCCAAGTTTAAACATTGGCGGTGCATGGCGGTGATAGTGGCGGGGCTATCTTCGCCTGCTCAAGCCTGCTTCCAGCCACCGTGCTAAGCCGTTTGCTTCAGCCACCGGCGACCTTACTCGGAGAGCATGAGTGAAGAGATGCAGAATTGCAGAAAGAGAACTCTGTTCCACTCATGAGGATGAACTAGAACCATGGCTAAAGCGCTACAGTATGGCTTAACAGTGTGCTCCCCAGAATTCAAGTTGAAGACGACCAACAAGTTCTTTTTGTTTCTTCCAATGCTACCTTTGGAAGAAGAGTCGAGCAGAACTGTCTCAGCACTGCAGGCGTCGAGTCACGCGCTGCGAAGCAAGCTACACATGCCTCAGAGCATGCACCAGTAGCCTCCGAAACAGCAAACATAATCATGTCCAACTTTTTTCATATCCAGTTTGCACTTGCCAAGGTTATTTAACACGTGATGCCTTGACATCTTTCACTACTGTAGGTCTTTTGTCACCGAGAGATCCCTGAGACTTGGCCCTGAACATTTGTGCCAATGGACTCGTCGCTGGTGCCTGTAGACCCCTTTGGGAGGCGAAGGGGGGATGGATGTGTCGCAGGCGGAGAGCATGGAGCGGAATGAACACGATCTGTTCACTTATATCATCCGGTGGTCCAGTTGGAATACAGAGAATGACATGGGCATGTATTGACATGTATATATATATATATCTCACAAGAATGTCCACCAGCAAGATGAAAGGAATCTTTTGTTGATGTGCTTTCGATGTTCCAGCCGGGATGGCATGTCCAGGGTGATTAAGCCGAAGTCGGGGCTCTGAAACTTTGCGGACCAATCAAGTCTTGGTGATTCCTGGGTGGAAGACATCCTCATGCCCACCATCCACCAGCTCCAAGAGAGGGTAGGACGGTCGACCAGCATGGTGGCGACCTGGCGATCTCTTGGGATACAAATCAAAGGATCACTAGTAACAAGAAGCTACGAACGGAACAAAGAACATCGCTACGAACGGAGCGATCGGACGCTAGCAGGGGCGCTCCTGGCCTTACTACTGTAACAAGAAGCTACCGGCGGTTGGAGCCAGGGCCCATGACGGCTCATGACGGCCCATGACGGCCCCCCGATCCAAACGCCGCACCGTTTTTTTCGGCGGATTTGGTTGGCCAATTCCGCTCCATCGTCTTCATCCGGTCGGGAGTCTTTGGAGTCTTGGGGGGAAGCACTTTGCCCAGGAGATGTACATACCTAGAGCCCAGACCTGACCTCCTTTTTGATAGGAAAAGGATGGAAAAGGCAATATTTTGCAATATTTTTGGATATATAGTTTGATCCTCCAAAACAGGGTCACTCAGGTTCTATAATCACAGAATATAATAGACACATGCGGGCTCAACTGCAGTCTGTCAGGTCTGTGGTGCGTTGGCCGCAAGAGGAGGATGACGAAGAGGAGGGGGTCACGAGTGGGGAGGAGATGAGGCTCCGCACAACCATCAGAGAAAGACGCCTGATTGAGACACACCCTGCAGATCAGCCCCGCCTTTGTGAATGTCCACGAGTCCATCTACCAAGTACTGGTAACGCAAGACCTTTGTGGGGTAGTGTGGGGTACCCTCTGACCCCATCCAACTGGCCCTGGCCCAACTGGCCGCGGCCGGAAACTCTCGATTCGATCCTCAGCATTTGCGATTGGCATGTATGTCATGTCACCTTGAGATCTTTGTTTCGGGGGTCCAGAGCGTTCTGCAGATCAACATTATTCCATCCAACAGTTGTTAAAATAGTCACCATGCCTTATGACCCAAGAATGTCGAAGAACAAAACATGGTATCACCTCCATCCTCATCCTACATCCATCCTCCACCTTTTTCCTCTTCGTCCGTTTCGGTCTCACCGTGTTCCTTCGCGTCTCACCGTCTTCTTCGCTTGTTGCTTCAGGAGGTCATCCCGCTTGGGGAGGAGAGCACCATGGTTCACGCGGATGCGATGGAGGCCGGTTCCCGATTCCCGCGGTTGGGCGGGCGGGGCGAAGGATCAACCAACTCGGGCCAGTCCAGAAAAGGATTGAGAGCGTAGCATAGCGCAGCTGTTCCTTTTTGGGCGAGATGGTGCCTCACGCATCAGATCATTCATGATCATGCATTCCCTCCATATTTCCCCAGCCTCCTGGCTTCTACACCCTACTCGCCAGCCTCTTCGGTTCCCCAGCCTTGGCTTCTACACCGGCCACGGGTTTACCCGCCGCTACGCCGCTGCGCCACCAGGAGCTGTCTCTCCTCCCCGCCTTGGGAGACGACGTGAGCGAGTTGGTCACCCGCGTGCGCGTGAGGTGCGCGCTGGAGGTGACTTCTTTGGGGAAAGAAACGGAAAGGAAGGGGAAGGCCGAAGACGCGGGACGTGCGTGTTTCTACACGTCCCGCCAATTGAATGACAAGCAATAGCAATCTAGCCTTGAAACAGCAGCTGCAGCGACGCTTTTTGGACGCACGCCCGACGAAAAGAGCCTGGGGCAACGAAAAAGAATGACAAAGATACAAACAGGTCGACGGTCCTCGGTGTCGAAACACGTTTGGCGTGTTTGCCATAAATGGCGCCCAGCGGTTGGTTTTGGGCCTCCAGTCAACGGTTCAAAGTAGACCCTAAGTAGACCAGCAGACCAGGTAGAGATGTGGAGCCACCCTTGACGGCTTGACGGCCTTGCCTTCCAGGCACCTCACGGCATCATTCCGCTTGGGGATTCCTTTGGACCTGAAGCAACTCGCTTCGCAGGCGCCCGTGCGGAGGGGCGGTGCCCGCGCGGGGCGGGCGGTTTCCGCGGAGCGGGCACCTGCGTACACGGGGGGGCGATGTCATGTGTGCTGGCGCATGTCTTTTGGGGGAGTGGTTCAACTCCCACATGCAGGTATTTGAATCAGCTGATGCAGGCTGTAGCGGCTGTAGCCTGCCGTGAGTGATTTGTGACAACCGATAATCGTGACTGGGTTGAAAGAGACGTGTCTGCAAAATTTGGCAATAGATTGGCAGGAGCGATGGGCCCCCCCACAATACCAAGATTAGCTTGAACAGTAGCTGCTAAGATTTGTGTCCTTTTCCATTTCTCTACTGTTTTTTCCCGAATGCGTAGCGAAGGGTTCTCGTTTAACTCTTGGGGGTCTGGGGGTAGAGCCTTGTTCGCGACCCGTTGCTTCTATGTTCGCAACCGTCCGCAACCGTCCGCAACCGTCCGCAACCGTCCGCAGTAGGTCGCTAAGGCGCTGCCATTGGGGGAAGCTTTTGCAAGTTACTTTTCATGGATGTGTCACGTGTCAGTTTGCGCCGCTATTCCATTGTGATTTGCATGAAAATGGGATGTGGCGCAAGACACGTGATGCGCTTCGCTGCGCAGGCGCAGCGTTTTGTGAGATCTGCAGAGTGCTGCGTAGTTCCATTGGGATTAGCGTTTGGAGAGTCGTGTTTTTGGGGTGTTGGATGTGGCCGTGCCATTGGGATTTGCGTTTCAGGGTGTGGCATCGAAGCTCTGTTTTCGTGACAAGTGTCAGCTGAAATGCCGATTTTGGTGGATGGGAGTGTGCTCAGAACGGGTCGAAATCATTCCAAACGTGTGGTGTGGTGCAAATTTTTTTTTGAAGCGCACATGAGATGATATTGTCATTTTTCGTGGCAGGCGCAGGACTTTGTGCAGCTTTTGAGGTGTGGAAGTGCGATTCTCGTGGCAGGATTCGTGAGGTTGCGAGGTGTGACGGAGGTGACATTTCGTGGCAGGCGCAGTACTTTGTGCGCGTTAGACGTGTGGACGCGGAAAGATTCGTGGCAGGCGCAGGGAATCGGGAGGTTGTGGGAGGAAGCCTCGTGCGAAACGTTCGTTGACGTGTGAGTTTTTGAGGAAGTCTCGTACGAAACGCTCGTTTTGGGGACTTGACATGTGACTTTTGGAGGAAGTCTCGTACGAAACGCTCGTTTTGGAGACTTGACGTGTGACTTTTGGAGGAAGTCTCGTACGAAACGCTCGTTTTTGAGACTTGACGCGTGACTTTTGGAGGAAGTCTCGTACAAAACGCTCGTCTTGCAGCCTCGCAGCGTGACTTTTGGAGGAAGTCTCGTACGAAGAGTGTGCCCTACAGGAGTGTGCCCTACAGGAGTGTCCCACAAGAGTGTCCTACAAGAGTGTCCCACAAGAGTGTCCCACAAGAGTATCCCACAAGAGTTGCCTACAAGAGTGTCCCACAAGAGTGTCCCCCAAGAGTTTCCTACAAGAGTTTCCTACAAGAGTGTCCTATAAGAGTGTCCCACAAGAGTGCCCCACAAGAGTGTCCTACAAGAGTGTCCCACAAGAGTGTCCCGCAAGAGTGTCCAAAATGAGTGTCCCACAGGAGTGTCCCACAAGAGTGTCCCGCAACAGTGTCCCGCAAGAGTGTCTCACAAGAGTGTCCCGCAAGAGTGTCCCACAAGAGTGTCCCACAAGAGTGTCCCGCAAGAGTGTCCCAAAAGAGTGTCCCACAGGAGTGTCCCACAAGAGTGTCCCTTAAGAGTGTCCCACAAGAGTGTCCCGCAACAGTGTCCCACAAGAGTGTCCTACAAGAGTGTCCCACAAGAGTTTCCTACAAGAGTGTCCCACAAGAGTGTCCCACAAAAGTGTCCTGCAAGAGTGTCCCACAAGAGTGTCCCACAAGAGTTTCCTACTAGAGTGTCCCACAAGAGTGTTCCACAAGAGTGTCCCACAAGAGTGTCCTACAAGAGTGTCCCACAAAAGTGTCCCACAAGAGTGTCCTACAAGAGTGTCCCACAAGAGTGTCCCACAAGAGTGTCCCACAAAAGTGTCCCACAAGAGTGTCCTACTAGAGTGTCCCACGGGAGTGTCCCACAAGAGTGTCCCACAAGAGTTTCCTACTAGAGTGTCCCACAAGAGTGTCCCACAAGAGTTTCCTACAAGAGTGACGCACAAGAGTGTCCCCCAAGAGTGTCCCGTAAGACAAGAGTTTCCTACAAGGGTGACCCACAAGAGTGTCCCGTAAGAGTGTCCCACAAGAGTGTCCCACAAGAGTGTCCCACAAGAGTTTCCTACTAGAGTGTCCCACAAGAGTTTCCTACTAGAGTGTCCCACAAGAGTTTCCTACTAGAGTGTCCCACAAGAGTGTCCCACAAGAGTGTCCCACAAGAGTTTCCTACTAGAGTGTCCCACAAGAGTGTTCCACAAGAGTTTCCTACTAGAGTGTCCCACAAGAGTGTCCCACAAGAGTGTCCCACAAGAGTTTCCTACTAGAGTGTCCCACAAGAGTGTCCCACAAGAGTGTCCCACAAGAGTTTCCTACTAGAGTGTCCCACAGGAGTGTCCCACAAGAGTTTCCTACTAGAGTGTCCCACAAGAGTGTCCCACAAGAGTGTCCCACAAGAGTGTCCTACAAGAGTGTCATTTGGACATATGTAGCTTTTCGAACGTGTTTGCATTCGGGTTCGTGGGCTCCATCTTGTTTCAATTCTGTTTCGAGTTCCACCACTTTGGCTGGGCTGGTGCTGGACCATGCTACTCCAAACCGATGCGACCAGCGACTAGAGAGCCTCCCCTCCCTTAACACCCCTCCCAGCTCGCCTCTGAACATGCGTTGACACCATGCAAAAGACCGACATATTACATATTTGCCTTCTTTCCTTCAACTTAGACACCTTTCTTCTCAGGCCCTCCCGCCCTTCACCGCCACCCACCTCGCAGTCGCACCCTTCACTCCGCCCTGCAGGCGCCCAATGCCGAGCTCCGACAACGACACACGGAGAAGGGCCAGCGCTTGGTGCTGATGGGCTTGACCGCGCCCCGGTGGACGGTCCGGCGCCCCGGTGACGGTTATCGCAAGACCCAAGTGACCCAACCAGCCCGGGAGCCTGGGACCCTTTTTTTGGATCGCATCCCAAAATAGAAGAAGAGGTCCCCCGGCACCACCCAGGTTGGATGCTTCTTGGATGGTCATGGAACATGGGGGGGCGTGTTGTTTTTTTTAGAGCTCCAAACTGGGTCGGTGTCGGTTGCCTCTTTGGCTGTTGTGGTCTTCCGGAGTCGCCACGAAACGCCACGCCTGATCAATCGCCACGACTCATACCGCGAGTCATACCGCTCGCGACTGGTTCATCTGGATGTTTCTGGCCTCCAGACTGGGTAGGAAGCCGTTGTTAGGTTTTTCTTCGATGCATCTGGCAAGCCATGTCACTGTGCTTCCATTCCGTCGGTTGGAAGGCCACTTACAGTTGGCCGAACACATCGCCATGATGTGAGTTGCCCGTTGAAGCAAGAACCATGGTCCACGGGTCCTTTTTCTGAGAGGGGTGCCGCACCCTGTTGTTCATCCCCCGCTGAGTCGGACCGTCATGGGTGGGAGAAGGGCCAGTCATGAGCCTCAACTTGGAGGTTTTAAGACACCGTTTCAGAACAACATGGTTGGGTGATCAAGACCTCGCAACCTCGTGAGCCATTTCTTGCGATGGCCCCAACACCGTGGGGGGGCGCCATTTCTCGCGTCGCGGGCGCCACGGAGAAGACGGCCGAAGTCCGAGTTTTGGTCCAAAGAAAGGCAATCTAGAATCTACCAGCACCACCCAAAGGGTGGTTAATAGACCCCCCTGAAGATGTATTTTCCATCCCAAAACCACCCAAACTGGGTGGTGCTGGTGGAGCATCCTCGCAGTTACCTCTGGAAGGGTTTGGAGTCCGAATCCATCACCGAAGATGAACAGACTTGCTAGGGAGGTCAACCTATACTTGGGATTAGGGGCTACACTCTTGCGGACGGAGAGTTCGTCGCTTCCTATGCATCCGTTGCTATGAGCCTACGTCCTACGTGTGGTAGGAGTATAGGAACCTAACAACTTGGGATCATACCAGGGCCTTCAAGGGGTGGTTAATGGATGTTAATGGACACCCCTTAACAGCTAAGGGGCTATAGATAGACACCCCTTGTAGGGTCCAGGTAGGGGTCCTGGTAGGGGTCTGGATGGGTCTGGGTTTTGACCCACCACCTTAGGAGTAGACGGGACCGACGAGACCTTCAGGTCTTAAACCGAGCTGCTCCGTGCTCTCCCGAGGGATCCTTGCGCTCCGATGGCCGCGTGCAGCTCTTTGCGCCCCACGCCACGGAGGAGCAGGTGGGGACGACGGTGGACGGTGAACGAGGTGTTCAGGGGCGTGGAAACGGAGGTGTTTTGGGCGAAGAGAGGTGAAAGGATTTGGAGGTTAGTAGCAAGGAGATCGCTACTGGTAGCAAGGGCATCGCTACTTGTTGAGGTTTTGCGGCTGCTTCCGGATGTTTCCTGGATGTTTCTTGCTTAGGGAACTTAGGGTCCTAAGTGAAGCATCATGCCAAGGCGATGGAAGATGCCAGGATCCTATGCGTTTTCCTTGTCAGGGTGATTGTTCGTTCGATCATCTATGACCGGACCATGCAAAGAATCAGGTCGTTTCTCCGAGTTTCCCAATTCCCAGAACAACAGGGATTACAGTCATCATTGCTAGCAGCCGAAACCTTGGTGCAGCCAGCAAAAGCGGTACTCCCCAGGTTGTTTGTTTTCTTCAATATGATCCCGGTCCCCCAAAGAAAAGCGCCAGCTAATGCCTCTGGCCACACCCACACAACACATGTGTTTGTCGAACTTCGTGTCTCCTTGACGAAGGCGTTTTATTGCAACTTTCGTGGGCCATAGGGCTCCCGTTTCCATGGGCATGTTTTTGCGGGATCAATCGCAGGACCCTCCTGTCCAGGCGCGTCCATCGGTTTGTGTTCTCCCGTCCACCCAAGCAGCAGCAATTCGCTCGAAGACCTTGGAAGCCGAATGCGTGCGCTTTTCTCGGAGCCTTTTTTCTAAGCGTTCCTCGTTGCAGAGGCGCGTCTGATGGGCAAGAAGCTGGCACGTCCCGGCCGTCATGTTTATTGCGAGGGTCCGAACTCGACCCGAAGGAAGGGACTTGGGCCGACGATTCGCTCGGAGCCAAAGAAAGATCGTGGCCTAAAAGAGAGGAACAAGAGATTAAAAGGCGAAGTGGGTCCTGCACACGCAACATGGGGCCTCCCACTCTCAGCTGACCTCCCACTTTTTAGGTGAGTGGAAGATTGACAAAGGAGAGGGGGATGCTTAAATTGGTGTCAAATTTGATCTCCGTGGCAATACCCACTATAAAATTGGGGGAGGGGGGTTACATGTTCATAAAACGTTTTAGGCAATAGACCCCTCAAGGGGTTTGTGAATCATTTTATAGAGAAATGGTTGTGTTTTGATGCTTGATCTTGCTTTTGAATTGGAAATGTGATGTAGTGCATTTGGGCTATCAAAGGGCGCATCAAAAACACGATACTTTCTTGACAGAGATCTGTTTGATCCAACACCATATGTACAGCTGCAAGAAAATAGGCATACAAAAATTGTATAGATACACATACATGTCAGCCCATACTACCAGGCGTAGAATTTCACAGGTCAGGGTTTATAGTCAAAAGTTTTGTTTGACACAGATTTATATATATATATATATTTTTGTTTGAAAAGGCGCCAAAAAACAACACCTACAAACCCGCAGAAAGATACCAGCAAGGTGAATCCAGAAGTTTGGACTCAGGAAACGTTGTACAAATACTAGGAACTTGCAGGAAAATGCAAACATACCAATCAAGCAAACCCTGGGTTCAACAAACTGCGCATGGCGCACGGCCATCTGTGAGTCTGTGAGCCAGCTTGTCTCTTTTTTTTCCTTTGATTAACGACTTCTGCCTTCAGTCTATCATCAGCTCCGTGGCTTTGTTGGGTGACAAACGCTTCGCTCAAGCATCTTGCCCTACACCACGCAAACAACGAAGGTTTGAAAGGCAAGGCCTTTCACTTGGAGGCTGAAGTCTTTTGCTTCTTGCCATTGCAAAACATCAGCTATCATTCCAAAAAAGTTATATTAAAAGAAGGAACCATAACTGGCAGCGCTGGCTACCAAGAAGTTATGATTCCAGAAAAAGTTATAGTTCCAAAACAGAATCATAACTTATGATTTTTTCAAAAAGATGCATAGCCTAAATCTAACAAAAAGCCTTCAACATCAATTTTTTTTGCTAGTTTTGAGCTATGTGTTTTTGTGAAAAACCTAGATTTACAGAGCCCCAAACTAGCAAACACCTTCCCTTCCCTTCCCTTCCCTTCCCTTCCCTTCCCTTCCCTCCTTTCTTCCCGCTTTTTCTCTCGAGTCTGGCAGGATGGAGCGCTCGAGTTCTTGCCCGCCTGCCTTGGAGGCCATTGCTATTTAGGTTGGAGCCAATCGCTACTAGGTTGGAGGCCATTGCCAGGGCAGGAGGCCGTTGGTACTAGGTTCCATTCCTGCTGGCAGGGCTCGCACGGATTGCGGTCGTCTTCCCCGACCCCGCGTCATTGGGGTGGACCGGCGCCGGCGCCGCTGTGCCTGGCCTGCATGGAGACGGGAAGGATTGACGCGGGCGAGACCGTGTGATTGGTGCGCTGTATGAACAGCTTGTTCAGCTCCTTGAGGGGGTGCTCTGGTGTCAATGAAGAATTCCCTGAACCAAACTGCAACCGTCTGGCAACCGGCGCCGTGGCGGCCCAGCCAGTACAAAACCCTGGGGCTAAACCAAGACGTTCCACTGGGTGTTCCACAGAAAAGGTGTCAGTCTCCCACTGTAGGCTACACGCCAACACTGTAGCGAAGGACAACATGCTAAACGAATCCCCCCAAAGACTCTTCCTCTTATCTCAAAGCCCTGAAGATCGTTCTTATCAGCGGAAGCCCCCCAGCACAGGCTAGTGTGTCCGAATCCGAATCCGAGCAGGAACTCCCGCTCGGAGGCGTCCAAAAGACGCCACTGATGTACATGTCCATGTAATGATAAGGTGGGAAGCGATACGAGCAAGGGTGGCTTCATCGCACCGCTTAATGCCGATTGGCGCCGGCGGGGGTCGAACTCGAGGAATGCTTTTCACAAAAGTCGGAAACTTGGCGAGGGGATCCTCAGGTTCCCAGGTCCCTTCTCTCAACCACTGTTCGGTCCTTCACCCACTTTGCCCGGTAAGGCCGGAGATCGAAGCCTACTTCCGGAGCCTTTTGGTCGATGGCGTCCCTGTGGAGTTGCCACGCGCCGGGCCCTCAGCCTGCAGGAGCTCTGACTGGATATGGAGGCATCCCTGATTGCACCTTGTGTCTCCTGGACTTTTGGTCTATCCTTGGGCACGAACTAGAGGAAGAGTTCAAAGGGCAGAGGCTACTTCGGCTCACTCGATATCAAGGATGTCATGAACTTGAGCGACCTCTTGACTGGGTGGTTTCCAAGACCATTCAACATGGCAACAAATGACCGAGGCGCGGTGTCTGAGTTTGACGGTGTCACGACATCGATACTTACGCTCCGCCGCGCGGGGCGGCCCAGACAGGGGCACTGTGAAAATCTCTTTTGGGTCCGCGGGCTCACCTTGTTTCAGGTGCACAAACAAATGATATACCTTGCTGGTGCTGGTGCCGGCCTCAGCGACGCACAGGAGGGTGGAGCTATGAAGAGCATCAGTGACACCTGTGCCAGGCCCCCCCTTTGCCTCAGTTTCGTTGTGCAAGTGTTCGCTCGAAAGTAGCAGGCTCTGTGACCTCACCCTGATCTTGCCTACCAATGGAGAACGATGCAGACAGTGACTTTCCTCCACTTCCACATTATTTTCGCTCCTGGACGGGGCCATTTGGAGATGGTGCGGTTGTTGCTCGAGGCTCGAGCTGACAAGAACACAAGAGATCCAGATGATGGGAGAACCGCCTTGATGGCTGCAGCTGCGAGAGGCCACTTGCGGGTTGTGAATTTTTTGCTCCAGGTTGGAGCTGACAAAGAGGCAGCAACACCAGATGGCGACACGGCCCTGACCTACGCCGCGGAGAGCGGCCACTTGAACGTTGTGTATATGTTGCTCGAAGCTGACATACATGACTGGTTTTGGGTGGTCAATGTACCAGCGGCTCTCAAACCATCTCGCATACAAACATTGTTATTTAGTTGGGGAACGACCCTCCAGACGACGTCCAAAACGACATTGGAACGACCTCCTTAACTACGTGCATCATGTATTTGCTGCTGCTGCTCTTGCTCCTCTTGCTCCTCCTGCTCCTGCTGTTGCTCCTGCTCCTTCTGCTGCTCCTGCTCCTGCTCCTCCTGCTCCTCCTGCTGCTCCTGCTGCTGCTGGTGCTGCTGCTGGTGCTGCTGGTGGTGCTGCTCCTGCTGCTGCTGCTCCTTCTCCTGCTGCTCCTGCTGCTGCTGCTGCTGCTGCCACTGCTACTACTACTGCTGCTGCTGCTGCTACTACAACTAGTACTACTACAACTACTACTACTACTTCTACTACTTCTGCTAATACTACTACTATTACTACTACCACCTCCACCACCACCACCACCACCACCACTACTACTACTACTACCTGCTACCTTTTACCTGCTACCTACTATCTACTACCTACTAGAACCTACTGCTACTACTACTACTACTACTACTACTCTTCCTCCTCCTACTCCTACCCCTACTCCTGTGTACTCCTACTCCGACTGCTCCTGCTGCTGCTGCTGCTACTGCTGTGTTTTTTGTTTTTGGTACTACTACTACTGCTACTACCATGGTTGCCGCCGTCACCACATATGAAGACCGCCGCTTGTAAATCATACGATTTGCTGTTGGGATCATGATTTTCGTACCATGTTTTTTCTACCTCAGGTCAGGGTGACACCGCCAACACGCTCGCTTCCGGTGGCGCTTCCGCCAGAAAGAGAAGCCTTCCTTGGCTGGGCCGCGCGGGCTCTCAGTTTAAGGCACTTTCTTCCTATTTTACCTTATGTTGCGTTTTTGTGCTTGTTCTAGGTTCAAAAATTTTTGAAAAAAGCAAGAAAAAAGCAAAACCAACCCAAAGCAAAAATGCAAAGAAGACACGCACTGCCTAACAAAATGCCAAAAAAATGCAGAATCAAACAAATGGCTTTGCAAGTGGAGACAGCGCTTCTGAGCGCTGCCTGAATCGCAAGATCGAACGAAATCTCACAGCTGGGACATACGGTGGCTTTGTCACCTGAGCAAGTGCTGGCGCCATAATTCGAAAGCACTCCCGGGGAGCATCGAAACCACTGAAGTCACTAGAAACCAAGAAGCCTCTCTTGATGTTGCACATGAACTTTTCAGCATACGGCTGGTTACGGTGCAAAAATTCAGCAAACTGCTGATTCCACTCGCCCAGCTCTGCTACACTTTCTGGCCCCCGGTCTTCTAGGAAGCTGATGTCACGTCGCAACATTATTTTTGCAAGTCTTGTTGCTTTTGGCTTTGTGCTGTGTCGATATGTTCAACACACGATGACCATGATCCAGTTTCCACGTTGTTTGTTGATGGCAGCCTCTTGCTTTTCGAAAACAACATCCAGAGTCACGAAAAATTTGGAACTACGTAACTATGCCAGGGAATGTCATTTTTGCTTGTTTCGCTCCACATTTAGCAAGAGAAACAGCGAACAATTTGAGAAGGTGTGAAACCAAGCGCCAAAACCTGCATTGTGCTACTATGCGTTGGAGCGCGCAGGGCCGCGCAATGTTTTGAACCTTTCTGGTATGTTTCTGTTTGGATGAAACACTAGGGACACTAAAGAGCAAGCATCACCCCTTGAGCAGCGTGCTTCAGCGATCAAAACTCAAACGACCGCTTGAAACACACTCAATTCTCCAAGAAACGTTGGTGTTTCCTAGAAAGCAGAAAACTTCACCGATGTGTCTCAACCAGCAAGAATGTCAGCATTTTTCTGCGTTGGATCCCAAGACTCCTCCCACACCGCCGTTCCTGAAGTTCCCGGACAGGCGTGGGGGTTTAGAGCTTCTTGCTTGTTCAGCCAGCGTGAGTTTGGTGT